CATATGACTAACTAACTCCTACTAGCAGCATTTTGGATCAACTGAAGGCTTTTAAAGACATATTTGGACATCTAGATAATAAACCATTGCAATAGTCCAGTCTAGACGTGACAAATGCATGGACCAGTTTTTCTGCATCATTTTTAGAAAAGATGTTTCTAATTTTAGTGATATTACGCAGGTGGAAGAAGGCAGTTCTAGTAACGTTTTATTGTGGGGGATAAAAGACATGTCCTGATCAAAAATAACACCAAGATTTTTAACATTAGAGCTGGAGGACCGATTAATGCCATCTAAGGAGGGAGAAAGACTGAAAAATTCATTCCTAAGGTGCTCAGGTCCAAAAACCAAAACCTCAGTCTTGTCTGTGTTCAAAAGGAGAAAATTAAGGGTCATCCAGGTTTTTATGTCTTTAAGACATGCTTGTAGTCTAAGTAGCTGATTGGATTCATTGGGTGTAATGGACAAATGTAACTGAGTATCATCAGCATACAGTGTTTCCCCTAAATAACTTGCCATGGCAGGGCGCTCATCTCGCCCATGATTTTTGTCGGGGGGAGACAGACAGAGACTCGTCCTAAGCTGCGCAGCGCTGTGTAAACCAACAGTTTTAGAGGGGGGTGGGGGACACAGAGACGGCCGCGTGCTGTTTGCACCAACAGTTTTCGAGTGGTGGGGGTGCGTTCAGCGTGAGGGTTCAGGATGAGGGAAGAGGCTGCCTTTAGCTTTTTAGCTAGCACACCTGCAGCGAGCCGCTAGTTTAACGTTATGTCAGTGCCAACAGGTGGTTTGGGGTGGATGGGACGCTCGGTTCTGTTGACGGGGCAGGGCGCCTCACTTGTAAAATGGTAGGGGAAACACTGGCATAACAATGAAAATGTATCCCATGCTGTTTAATAACTTTACCTAATGGAAGCATATATAAAGTAAAGAGTATTGGTCCAAGTACTGAGCCCTGATTTTTACTATTATAATCTGTTATTATCGGAATTACAAAATAATCTGATTAAAGTACATTTTGTATATTAAAATGTATATTTAAATATGATTTCCAAATAAAAACTTTAAAAAGTCAGTCACATTTAAGTCGTACGTGTTCCATCTGCAGTTCGTTTTGTTTCACCAGAACCCCACTCTCCGGCCCCTTTCCCACCTCGGGCTCAGGCTGTGGCCTGTCATGGCGGCCCTCTCCATGATCCTCCATTTGCCTGCACAGACTGAACTCTATGGAACAGTTCAGTTCTGCAGGGAACTTTGAATGTTCTGTTTCTACCAAACCTGGTTCTGGAGAGCAGTCATCTTCTGTTGCTGCGGTCATTTCTACCATCATGCTGTTAACAAGACCACGCTGCTAACAGGACCACGTTGCTAACAAGACCACGCTGCTAACACGACCACGCTGCTAACAGGACCACGCTGCTAACAGGACCACGCTGCTAACAGGACCACGCTGCTAACAGGACCACGCTGCTAACAGGACCACGCTGTTAACAGGACCACACCATTAACAGGACCACTCTAACAAAACCACTCTGCTAACAAAACCACTCTGCTAACAAGACCACACTGCTAACAAGACCACACCATTAACAGGACCACGCTGCTAACAAGACCACACCATCAACAGGACCACGCTGCTAACAAGACCACGCTGCTAACAAAACCACACCATTAACAGGACCACACTGCTTACAGGACCACACTGCTAACAGGACCACACTGCTAACAGGACCACGCTGCTAACAGGACCACACTGCTAACTGGACCACGCTGTTAACTGGACCACACTGTTAAGACAACCTCACCATCTACCAGGATCATGCTGCTAACAGGACCACGCTGCCAATGATAACCTCACTTTTAACAGTCACTCTGCTATCAGGACCATGCTGCTAACAGTAACAGTGTTTTTTATAACAGTTTTTTATTTTAATGACTTTTTATGGTCTGCTCTATATGTTGTCTGACAGGTCTTTCTTGAAAATGAGTCCTCATGATTCAGTGAGACTAACCTGTTTAAATAAAGTTTAAATAAAATGTACAAACACTGGTACATGCACACTGTGTTAGACCGTGAAAAACTACCGGTATCAGTATCTGTGCCTTCCTAATGACTAACTGTAATCCTAATCCTAATGTGATCATATTCCAGCAAGTAAGGCAACGAGTTTTATGCATTCTTTCAAGGAGAACATCTAATTCTGCCATGTTCTGGACTAGCACTTGTCGCCAAGACTGCTGTGGATGTTTTGTCCTAGTTTTGGTCTTGAAAATAATCAGTCAGTGCATTGGTTTGATTGATGTGTTTGTCTGCGTTTTCTGTCAGGACCATCCGAGTGTGGCTGAAAAGGGACAGTGGTCAGTACTGGCCTAGCATCTACCACACAGTCTCCTGTAAGTAGGACTGCTTTGTGTCTGCAGGGCAGTCCTTTATGAGCACAACAGAGAGAAAAGTTGTGACCTCCTCATCGTGAATGTCTGCTTCCTTCTCCTTTAGCTCCTTGCTCCTCCATGTCCTACCACCATGACAGCAGGCGCATCTTCATAGGCCAGGACAATGGAGCTGTAGTGGTGAGTCCAAACTGTGATTGAAGGTGGAAAAACCTGTCGTAGCTTGTTTTAAAAACAGGGACGTTTGTCTCTGTTCTTATAACCGAGAAAGGAGTTTGTTTTGAAACTGTTCTTTTTTGTTTGTTTGTCCCTCTTCTTGTAGGAGTTTCTCATCTCTGAAGATTTTAACAAGATGAACCACGTGAAAACGTATCCAGGTGAGACAAAGCATGAACAGGTCTACTGTGAGAGTGTTTTAAAAAACAAACCCATACTGGTATACGTTTTCTTTCTTTTTGGGGTTTTCTCTGTGTGCACTCTCGCTCTGCTAGTGGAAGTTTGGTCACACGGCCAACTCTGTATGCTAGCAATGACACTCCTGAGTCACTGTTAGCGCATGCATCACTTTGTTCGTTGCATGTTTAATATCATGTTTAGTTTCATATACAAAAGTTTTTGTCTCCCCCTGGCCATTGGTGTCGGAAGCATTTGCAATGGGGACACATTGATGGTGGTGTCTGGGGATTCTCCCCTGGAACATTTTGAATAAAGTAGATGCCATTTCCTGCATTCTGTTGTATTTTAACAGGTTTAATGTCTGTTTACCTCAGTAAGTAAACACTTGACTCAATAACTATTTTAGAAAGAAGCAAGCGGTAACCTGACCAACAGCTCTCCTTGTGTGAATAGAGCATGCTCTGCTTCTCTCATGCATCCTAACCCCACACCCCGATTGACAACTGCCGGCACTAATGTAGCTCTAAGCTAGCACGCAACAGAGAGGTGTCTCCTTCCCCTGTCCTGTCAATAGGAAGAAAAAAAACAGAAGAGATGAGCTTTCTGCTAAGGCAAGTGACCTCGGGGAAACGCAACATGAGGTGTGGCGAGTTGTTGTAGGTAACCAGGAAAACCCGGAGTGGACTTTTAGTGGTTTGAGTATTCTATTAACCAAGTGGAATGGATTATTTCATGAAGAAATAAAAACAACGCTGGGTGAACTAATATTTCATGATAAATGTGTGTGTGTGTGT